ACCTAATCGGCGGAAAACATATATTACAATTAAATACATATATACGGTCGTTGTTGGAAATATAACAAAGATGGATCAAGCACAAAAACGTTATCGCCATACTTCCAGTGCTGCTGCGCGTTCCCATCTCGGATAACGTCCAGCTATCCCATGCGAGGCTCATACGGATAAGATAGTTATTCCGGGTGCTTTATCGTGGAATTAATTGTTCGCCGACCTTTGTGCAGTTTTTCGCTTTGTCGGCTCCGTCCGGTAAATTGAGCTTTCCGCGAAGACATTGATAGTCGACGACGTTTTTCCCCCCTCGTGCAGGCAGATGCATACACTATAATAATATATATATATATATATTATTACACGGGCACTTTGTCTGTACTATAAAAGACACTCATGCCCAACGGTCCGTAAAATCGCCTTATGTACCGTGCGATTCGGTTATATATTATGCGCTCTTTCTTGTTTGTTGTTGTTGTTTTTTTTTTTTTTTTATTGTCAGTGTTTTTGTTTTTCCGAAATCAGCTACTCTGGCCGACCCATTTTTCAAAACCTAGTGGCGACGGCACAGCCCGAGCCCTTTGCGTGTGCAGTCACTTTGGTTACGAGTACTATGAATTCTAATCTCGAAAATCGCGTGGAAATTACAACAATGCGCTCATAATTTAAAAAACAATGATTATTTTATTATGCGGCCATAAGTACCCGAGCTGTAGAGGCAAATATCGAGCCGTGACTTGGCCGCGTTTGTCGGTGTTTTCAATTACCGTAGGAAAACAAAAGCAACGTTCGCCGTGTTTTGAATTAAAAACTTTATACCGTGCTTGAAAATTTAATGATTTTCATTGTATTTTATTTGCAATACCGAGTTTGTGCACAACAACGTCTCGCAGACGTCGTAGGTAGATATTTATTTTAATTTATTTTTACAAAATTACAAAAAAAAAAAAAAACCCCAAATGAGTTTAACAATTTAATAAGGATTTACCTACTCGGAGTCCGAGGAGGCTTTGGCTTATACAAATTCAATACGGGCCCGATGAGAGTTCTAAATTCTGAGAGTACGCCAAGTCAATGCTTATAATAATATGTTCTGCAATCCAATATTCTTCTCGCTATCCCGCGGTTAATCCTTGTCATCTTTCATGATTAAATAAAGTAATGAAATACTGTTATGCCGAACTTCGCAACAATTACGTTATTAATCTCTCCGACGATCCCACAAGTTTGCAAAACGGTTGAGTTTTTTTTTTAAACCTATCAGGCATACGCTGATAACATAATTTTCAATTGAGAACATCTTCATACTTTTAATATTACAAATTTATGTTATTTTTTTTTATTAAATTAACGGAAAACGAATCTTGTTATTTCTTAATATATTTTCTCTAAAAGTTTAGCATACAATATAATATATACCGCACCTATATTATAAACTACTTTCCAAAATAACATTTTTCCGAAGAGCTCAAGCTCTCAATTTTAATTTTTAAAAACACCAGATATGACATTGTCATAGTATAACGTATTACTCGAGTAATTTATTGTCCTTGAACTTGCTACAAAGCTATACACTTCTGTTATTAGACTTTACTAACTGCAGTTTAGTAATTGTGTGCGATAAGATATACTAACTATAACATTATTGATTTTTTAATTTTAATTTAACGAAACGTGTTACACGTGTTTTATGTAAAACTAATTTTTATTTTCGTTTGAACTGGCTGATGTGAATATAATTTATTGTTCAATATTAATTTGTGTATAGCAGATTCAAAGGAGAACTCGTCTTAAGAGAAACAGATTCCTGGAATAAGCTGTTTTCGTAAGAACAAACGTGTAACCATTTCCGTTTAAAATCAAAGAACGAGGAACTGGAAAAAGGTGCTTTATTTGAAAAACTTGAACAGGAAATATAGCTTTTCTTAAACGAATTTCTGTTTGGCATATGCTCATAGTTGAAGTTGTACTTATACATATATTTTATTATGTTTTTGGTAAAAGTCAAATAATCAAAACAAAATCTTTGTTCAACGAATAGCATATTATATTTATTATTAATTGTTATCGAATTCATTCTGCCACAGCTTTAAAAATATTAGAAACTATTTTATTGACAACAACGTGAGCACTCTCAAATCAGAAACTCCTATTGTTGTTGTTTTTCGACAGCCAGAGAAAATATTGTCTATTTTGATTTCTTACTTCCTTCCACGTGGAAACCAGGAAAACTAAATAAATTATGCATACTGTTTTTTGTTATCTAAATCCAATCCGTTTTGTTTTTTAATACTTTATCATGACCTACAAGATTTCTTTGTATTTTCAAAAGCATTTTGACATTCATTTCATACTCAACATGTGAAAATCTCAGGTCATATAGTTGATATATCATTTTCTTTACATCTAAATAAAATAATTGACTTTATCGAAACGTTCAAATAAAACTTTCTTGCACAATGCACAATGCCAATGAAGTATAGGTACACATTTATAAAAAAATCAATATTCTTATATTAAGTAGAAGATTTTACATTATTTACATAACTTGCGGTTATTCCCACTTGAGTAGTTTGATTGATCTGCCAACGTTTCGGAATACTTGCACATTCCATCTTCAGCAACATCGAACCACAGCCTTGAAGATGGAATGTGCAAGTATTCCGAAACGTTTGTAGGCCAGTCAAACTACTCAAGTGGGAATAACCGCAAGTTGTGTAAATAGTGTAAATACAATACCCCACTCAAGTCTTACTAACTTTGAGAAGAATTAAATTAAATTTAACTATATAGTGTACGAATAAATATATAACTAATGATATTTTTTTTTCTTGCATATGACATGGTATTGGCGTACAAATTATAACTAAAATATAGGTAACAAACAAAAATTAAAAATAATAACAATATAAAAGTAATAGTAATAATACACATACGAATAAATATAAATAAATAAACTACAATAATAGTAATACCAGTTATAAATAGGTGATCATAACTATAAGCGGATGGCAAGATAATAATAATTGAATAATAATAACACTGAATTTGGTCATGTCTAACTTTCAGTAAGTCATTGTTGAGTTTTTATGAGAACAAAATACAATTTCTGAGGAAAAGTAAAATATTTATAATATACCTAATGCATATTAATTCACAGTGACTAAAGCTATAACATGTTCTATGGTTTTCATTCAATATGGTATATCATAAATCATTTATATTGTATTTTAGTACCATATACATTTTGAATGGTGGATATTAGTTTTACTGATTAAACCAGAGTAATGAAGTATTGTTATATTTATATGTATATATATATTTTTTTAAATATTTCGTTCGTCAAGGGGTTTTTTTTTTTTTGAAAGGTCATTATTTTTAATTGAATTTTGAGATGGAAAATTTCTAATATTTAATACCTTTTTTTTTAATACGAGTAAAATATCATTTTTGTGTTTTTTTTGTTATTAAATTGCTTTTGTGATTACACATTATAGCACACTATATGATACAAAATAATACAATAAATAGTTAATATTTACATATATTTAAATTAGGTAGCTAGCGCTTAATATAAAGGCAATTTTAGATAAAGTTGGATATCAAGAAAAATGTAACCAATGCAGGACATAAGAGAAACAAGTGATTTACGACTGGGAAGGAGAGTGGGACAGTTGAAAAGGATATGTGAAATGTCGCAATTCATCTATGGTAGGTGCAAAAGACAAAGAGGGAAATAACTGAATGAGAAACGATAACAATAGAAGAGAAACAAATTGTGACCGGTGCCTAACCGAGAGAAGTCAACTACAAGATGTCTGGGAACGTCAAGACCTCAGAATCACGGACGAGTTGCAATTGAAGGTGAGATATTTCTATTCCCGGAAGCGTAACTGGGTAGGAGGGATGGACCATTTGGCTTGCCATGTACGATTGTAAAAGCGAACGGTGCCCAAAAAGCAAGTCAGATGATGAAATATTAAAATGGAAAATTGTATAGCAAAGGCAAGACGATCGGCAATTTCATTACCCAAAAATTCCGACACGGCTTGAAATCCAAAGGAATTTTACAAATTTACTTTCAAGACTTTTATGTATTTTGTTACACACCTCAAAACTGTGTATGTAAGACTAATAATACGGTTAATACATTTACTGTACACTGAAACCTTTTTAATAAATCTTAGGTGCATGACAAAACATAGATTCTTTTTATCTCAACATTAATTTTTTTGACTTTGTGTTGACGCGAGGTTAGTATATTACTATCTAACACGAATCATTAATTATAAAAATAAAACATTACATGCTAGACTATTTTTTTAACATTGTAAAACAAAGATTAACGTTATGATTTTTTTTTTTTTTGTAAGTAATTTATATCACTTTAAAACATTAAAGCATCTGAGCCGTTAGTTTAAAATTAGCCATTACACTATTTTTATTGCGTTATATTTTAACGTTTATCCGATATTGTAAAATATTTCTTTATAGTTCGCTATTATTTTGTCATCGCAGTTTTATATTTATTATCGTTAAGGTATTTCTATTTTAACAAAAACAAGTTCACAGGTACGCTTGAAGAGCTGTAACGCCGTCAGTATCAAAATGAATCCTATATGTACCCTTTTTTTAAATGTATCTAACCGTTTTTTTTTTTGGGGGGGGGGGGAAATTTTTACTACTAAATATGATTTTTTATCGAGTGGTAGCAAAACGGTATACATGTGGTCTGAATCGTAGTCCTCGATTTTGATTTACACGTGTCTGTGGCCACTTACTTTTTAACAGAATGGAGAGCGTGAAGCAATTATTTAAGTCTCAGTCGAATTTAGGAAATCGTATAGATAATAAAAATCGTCCATTTCGACGTTTGATGAGTCATTAATAAAAAATTAAAAAATAAACCTTGAGACAATGTACGTAAATATACTGTTGTCGTGCAGTTATTACACATTATACTACGGTGCGTTGTAAAGTGATTTAAATGCAGCGCTTGTACCTACCTGTATGTTATGAACGCGAATATGAGTCCCACCAATGATACGCTGCTGCCCAGGACGACGATCAAGGAAAGTATGCTCTCCTGGCTGGCCACGGTCCATCCTGTCCCGGTCAGGTTGCCCACGATGGGAACGCGTCTCGGGTAAATGCTCTCCATCAATATGCGATATCCAATCCAACGCAATGTACAATATTATATTATTGGCCGGTAAACTTTGTTCGAGTGCCGTTTAACCGTGTCCGGTTTGTCCGTCGAAAAGGACCGACGTTCGAATAATATTGTATTGTTAAAGTTAACGGTTTTTTTAAAAGTTTTTTTTTTTTTTTTTTTGACCGCTCAGCTAAGACGACCGATGACGTAGTAGTCGTTGCCGCGTTGTGCGACTGAACCACTGTCTCCTTTTTGGCTCTCCCGTGTCTGTTGACGTGTTGGCGGCGCGCTCTGTGTGTCATCTACCGGGGTGCCGGCGTTGTTAACCGCCACAGACTATGGTACATTTTTATTTATATTTCAACGAATCTCTCGCTTAGAAAATAAACGTGGGTATTTTGAAAAGCGCTAATTGTAAGTTTAAAGGTATTTATAGTATCTCAAACTCCCCCGATTTCCAGTAATGCCCAAGCTTCAAAACCCGTGTTGTATATACGCTGGGGTTAGCTTATAAATCCGAATCGTTCGAATACAATAGAATTACCAATTACCTCTCTTCGGAGAGACGTGGTACGAATAATTATTATTAGAAATATTACTATAAATTAATGATTATCGTTCTACGTTGAAAATTCGTCAACAATACAATTGAGCGAAATGCGAGTTTTCAGTGAAGCACTGAAAAGTGTGTTCGAAATAGCCATGCTAATGGTGTATTGAATAATAATGGCCAAAAAATGAATTTCATAATTTCTAAAAAGTACATTTCAATGCTCGCGGAATTTTCAAACCTGAAGTATTTCATTAGATTATATAATATAACATATATAGTAATGATTCAGTATTCCAGATCTCCAATTGGAAAACTCAGACTAGACGGATTATCCTGGATTTTTGGATATTATTATATTTTTTTCTACCTAAGTAAAGCAATAAAATTATTGTTTTATATAGACGTTATAAATGCAAAATGTGTGTATATACATATACAAGTTTTGCAACAGTAAATTTATTATCAAACTAGAATTGAAATTAAATCCGGATTTCGCAGTTCCGTTCTAACTACATAGTGTGTTCTAAAGGGCCTCGATGACTAGTATTAAATCTTAAAGTATAATTTTTATTTTTCATTTGCACCAGTGTTCAGGCGAAATTGCATGTTTTATGATTAAAATAAAATTACAGTGGTGAGACGGTGTAAAATGTAAAGTAGGGTTATCGTTTTACTTTAAGCACCATAACAGTATAACACTGTCAATTTATATTCACCCTTCTTTGTGTCTATCCCAGTGGTTGTATTTCGCGGGGGATGTGACTATTGCCCTAACGAAATTTATCACCCGACACTGGACATGACGGTTTTCGTTTTATTAGTATTGGACATAATCTATATATATAGACAACGAGAACCGTCAGAGGCTTTAGTATAATGATGTTATTTTGATTGAGTAGTATCCGACGACCGGTATCGATGTAGAGATTGATTTGAGTGTAAAGCTTATGATAAAAAGACAGGGTAAATGACGACGATGAAGATTAATGGTTTTTCGGTCAAACTCTAACCGGCTTAGATTCTTTTGAAAAGAATAACGATTAAACGCCATTTAACAAACAAAAAAATAACAGTGACAAGCCCATGAAAAAAAGAAAAAAAAAATCTAAATTAATTTTCAATATCGTCGAGGGCGTTAAAAGTTTATTTTATATATTTTCTGATAGCTCACAAATGTGATAGTTTTTCCGCTGTGGCACATAACGCTTATATTTGGTTTTCTCAGGACACATTGAAATGTGTTTTTATTATTTCTGTACAAAAACAATGTTGTATAAAAATATGATATATATTTTCATACAGATCAAAATGAGACAATGCAACATTGAATGTAAAGTGCGGCTTTATTTTTACTTCTACTAAGTTGTTTTAGCGTTTATCTACATATTACTACGATAAATCATAACGTTCCACATCGACTTGTGCATTTATTCGGATAACATATAGTATTGCTTTGAATCCAAAACGGCTCTTACAATTTATTTTGTACAATAAATGCTGTTTGTATGTTTTATAAATTATGATAATTTCATTGTTTATTCTTATACTTCGCAGAAGAACAATATACATTATATGCACACACACGCATATATATATATATTTATATAAGGAAAATAAAACGTAGTGCATTCGGAGGATACTCCGTTTCGAAATGTTTTCAGTTTCTCATCAAAAATAAAATATGATAGAACAACAGCTACGGTAATATTTTTACAGCCAAACTGCACCAATTGGTTAAAACGTTTTTCTTTTATATATTTTATAACACAACATATTATATCTTTGTACCCTATGTTTTATTTAAAAATGATTGTGGAATATAATAATTTAGTGTTGAGATCTTAACCTGTGTTATCTTTTATTCCCAGACGTCTAGTATGTAATATTCATATATATTTACCTGCTATCGATATGTGCAATATTTAAAAACGTTCCTTTAAAATTCCAGTAACACATCTGGAAGGTATGTAAGTACAGCACTTAAGTACCGCTAAACAATATTTACAGCCTATACGCTTTATATTCCTAAGCCGGAGATCAAAAAAACGCAAAAAACTATGCGGGATCGCTGCAAGAAGTAATACAGCGCCCGCAGCAACATCTTATTTCATCTAATCAAATAACAAAACAAAGCCAACTTCTAGAGAATTACGTTACCTAAAAAAAAATAAAATATGTCACTTTAAGAGAAATACTTTAACAACAAACACCCAATTGACCTTAGAGTTCATTCCTTGCCTTAAAAAAAATGTTATTATTTGATTATAATATGAATTGTTTTTGAATGAAAGCAAAAAATAACATAGCTATGAGGTACGAAAAATTCAATAAATACCCATTTCATATTTGTGGGCTATTATATAGGTGAATATAACATATTAATATATCATATAAATATGAACGTTTTACTTTAATTATTTAAGAATAATTTGACTAAAAAAGACTTAAAGCTTCGATTTTCTCGAGCAAAAAAATTATATACAATTAAGACATCACGTCGCATTTATTTTCAATCAACAGTTGTTGCCAGTAAAATTCGTTAAAAATATATTTATGTATTTCAAGTAAAATATTTTATTAAATTTGTTTTCAGGTTCGGGTTTTAATTTTGTACTATACATTTCTTACGCCAGAAATACATTAAAAAACAATTCTACGTAAGCTTCCATAATTCGATTTTTAATTTAGCATTTAATGTATGTAAAATAATTCATGACAATGTGTCAAATACATTAAAATGTTTCAGCCTAAGATTTCATTAAATGGTCTGGCGTCTGGTTAAGCTTCACTGAAATTTTACTAAGAAATATTTTGGCCGTTTTAAGATTTGTTATTACAATTACTTATCAAAATATCGTATACAGGCTTTACACTATATAAAGTTTATCAAAATTAATTGGATTTTTTAATTAAATAAAAATTAGTAAAAAAAAAATGTCGAGTTGGTTTAAAAACAAATAAATACAAATTGAAATACATTGACGTTAAGCCAATGTCAATTAACATAGTGTATTTTTTCTTCCATAACATAAAAAATCCATAATTATTACTTTAGTGATTTAATATCACGTTTTCGCACGACAATAGCCTTCCTCTTCTTTATCAGATTATCGTACAATACCAGACAATTTGATTAAAAATGTGCTTACAGCATTTGAATCGAGGCATAATTAAGTAAACATAATAGGCAAGTGGGCACGTTCTAAGATATTTGTACATTTTTATAACGTCTGGTCACTCTTTTTTTTCCATAAATAATTTCTGGCTTATACATACGTTGTAAGTGACATTTTACATAGTTTGTGGCTTTTGTTTTTCACAGTTATTTAAAAATTTTCGTTGAACGAGTTCCTGGTTCTATATTAAAAATTACCATTTTTCATGTTGAATATACGTTCAGGGTACATATAATACACCAGTGCGGCGTCTGACATAAAAACTGACATTTTTCCAGCAGTTAATTAAGAGTGACGGTGAAAAAATATCACCGCAAAGACCGCAGTTTTACTGTATGCGAGGTAAAAAAAAATAATAATAATGCTAAACTTAAATAATATTAACATAACTCATTATAAACGTCTACCACTTAACCCTCTTCTCTATACGACTACTAACAGGGATTTTCGGGTTTAAGGTGTTTCCTGCAGCGCAACAAAAGACACGTTTAATGAACTGTTGTGTGTGGACATCAATCTAATTATAAAGTTTCATACTGATAACAATACCCGAGTTAGAAACATAACCCCTGAGAGACTTCTGCCGATAAAACGCGGTCGACCGGCGAGGAACTTGTTGGAATAGTGGCCATTACTTTATTATTTGTACATGTTATTATGAATTATCTAAAATAAATTGCTTAGAGCAAAATAAATTCGAATTAAACAGTATTTTTCGTACAATATCGTTTATAACACCAGTTTGCTGTGTAACATTTGCACTGTCGCTAAGTATGTCGCGTCATTCGGCCTTTAAAATTTGAGTTGCGAAAAAGTTTATATGAGTAATAAAAAAAAAGGAAACTTAATCGATTATAGACTTGGCAATACTTATTTTGTTGGTAGCAGTCTTAAAAAGCACTCGCAGTGTCATGAAAGTCGAAAAGAAAAACTTTCGCTGAAAATATAATGACTCGTTACAGTTTTATATAAAAGGTCAAGTAGATTTTTGTTTAACCACTTTTTACTCGCGCCTGTTTATTAAATAGTTGCGGCTGTTGGGTCAATACTTAATAGTAAGCGTACGTGTAGTATAATTTAACACTGACTGATACAAATATATTATTATTCGTGAGAAATTAAAAAAAAAAAGAATGCAACAGAAATCTATTGAATGTTTCTAGTTAGTTAACGACTACTCGGAAACAAATATTGAAGAGCTGTTTTAGAATTTTTCAGAGCCAAAATTAATTTTACAAGTTACCAGAAAAAAAAAATAGGTACGGTAAAAATTATAATCTACAAAAAGTAGATTATAATGATAGTGTCATTTGTTTTTTTTTTTGTTTTTTCTTGTTAAAAAAAGAATGTGACTGACATTTTTTTTTGTTCATTGTTCAAGTGCTTGAAAATCCTAGTACTGATAGTTATTTATAAATTTCTGTTGCTTGAAGATGATTTTTTTTATAAAACATAGATTTATATAGGTCATCTACGGTTGGT